GCCCAGGCGTTACTGGCAGACTCGGGCCCGGGAGAGGAAGAACCGAAGCAAGCGGCGCGTTCGGCGGTGTGGTCACCTGTCGGCTCAGCTGGGCCGCCTTCACCCCACAGCGTTACGCGTTTGTGTCATCTTTGCAAGGTCGCCAACTTTTATCTTCTCAGAATCAATGACTTTTACAGCAACGAACTGCCTCGGGTCCAGATTTGCTTTCAAATATCTGCCAGGGATACTCTCCTCTCTCCGTCAGATTCCTACCCGCACCGAAGTACAACAATAATTTTTTTTGACCCAAATAGCGCGTTAACTCAAACAAGAGTGCGTATGTACTTCCTTTATCGTGTTTCACTTGAGACCTAAACAACCGTGCCATAGAAAGTTCAGAGGTCAGTTGTAAAATGAGCCAACAGCTGACATAGCTACCCTGTCATTTCGGAGGATGGGGCTGTCCAGTCACTGCAGTGCAGTAAGGGTCTTTCTCACAAGCACCTTCCTACTTTTTCAACCTTCTTTTCTGCTGCATTTTTTTCAAAGCTGCTGCTGCCAGCTCTCTGAGGTTCTGTCAGGTGGACTTAGCAGCATCAGCGGCAGTGGCTTGGTCAAACTTTTACCCGTGTTCTTGCAGTTTGCCTGCCAAAGCCATCTGTCAAATTTTTCCTACACAGCATTCTTCAGTTCCTCATCAAGTCTGCTGTGCCATTTTGTGATCCTTCAGATGTGATACCAGATCGGTGATATTTTATATGCTTTATGCATCACTTGAGCTTCAGTTGTGAGGAACATTTTTTTTTCATAATTACGTACAGCAGAATCCAACACTGAACATATTCAAAAAGCTGGATGCTAATTGTAGTCTGCCATACTGCAAGCCTTAAAACAGCTTTGTTGCACGCCGCAGTAGCGTTATGATTGAACAGTAGCCAATACCTCTGGTGCCCTGTATTAAGCTGCTAACAGCAATCCTGCAAGTCACTGTCAACTCCAAGGGTATTTTCAGCTAATTCTCATAACACTTGTGAGAAAGGTCAATAGGCAGCCTCAGAATACAGCTACAGACTAGATAGCTAAAAGTGGAAGACGTAAGACTTTGGGATTATTGAAAAGTTTTATTCAGCAAATATTTTTGTTGGTGACTGTAATTTCTGTGTGTATTTTTTCTCTTGTGCTCTTGGGTGGTTTCTTCGCTCAGGATTGCTCGTTCAAAAGCATTTGGGAAGTATGAAGGGGAGTAGGTTGGACATAGAGGCTTATTTTCATTAAGAGGGAAAGAAGAACCACAATTTTTCTTCCATGGCTTACACTTTTTTTAAGAAAGTGTTGGCAGCATGTTATGTGATGGAGATGAAAGCTGTGATGGATAGGGCTGCTCTGTAAACCTTGAAATATATTCTCTGTGTTTGGTCACTATGATGTGTACTGTGTTAGTGTGTTGTTTCAGTGAAGTAGCAGATTTAAATAAACACATAGAAGGAGGAAACCAACAGCAGAGGAAAATAAGCCTCATCAGATAGGTTCTGAGTTTGTCAAAAAGGACGTTAAATCTAGACGAAGCTGACTCTGGGCATCGGGTCCAAATATATTAGCTGAGACAACAAGGAGCATCTATGGATTGTGCTTAAATGTGGCTAAAGCTAGGAGTGTGAGTGAAGGGGAAGAAAACTGGAAGCATGCCTCCCTCTCTGCCAGAGGTTAGGGGGCCTGGGAATGAAGGCATTTACTAGATCAGTGGATGTACTAGGGCAGGATAAAGCTAATTCTGAATCCTATTTGCTTATAATCTGCTTTCCTCCAATTATCATTCCACAATATTTTAAGAAAGTTGTTTGGAGACTCCATATTTACTGCTGGTTGTAACTCCTGGAGTTGTGCCCAGTTCCATCTCTTGAACAAGCACAGTCACTATGCAGGGTACTGCAGAGCAGATTTAAGAGCAGAGTGCCAGGGCTCTGGGTGTGTTCATAAGCCTTACTTGCCCCCACCTGAGGCTCCCACCCAGGGTGGGGCAGCTGCTCTGGGCCTGACCTATGTTGTAGGAGGGCCTGTGCCCAGCCATGTCCCCAGCTTGGTGACTGGCTTGACTTGGGGCCTGACTTGTCACTTTGCCTTTGCTTGATGGCAAAACCATTACTGTCCCCAGCCCTGCTCTGCTTGCCTTGCTCCGACACCATGGGCTGGTGTCCTGCTGTGTGGCATTGTCATCCCTGGCTCCAGGCTCTCCTTCTTTCATGGAGGGGTCCCAGTCCTGCTACTACCTAACACGGAGAGTCACTGATGTGCCTCGGTCATTCTCACCTCCTGTTTGAGTGCAGGGCTGGGAAAAGAAGGATGCCAAGTTCAAAATAATGTGAACTTCTGAAATGGAAATACAAAATGAAGGTACAGACCAAACTGGCTTGAGATTACAGGAAAAAAAAATGAGATGAAGGAGAGTGATTAAGTTAAAAACAGAATGGAGGCAGGGAGAGGAGTGACTGTAGGTGTAGAAGCCAATTAGTGTGGGGTTTGGGACATA